CCTGCTGCTAAACCTGATCAGCAGCTGATTCCAGGATGCCGGGGGCAGAGAAACTCTGCCTCGGGCTTCCTGTAGTCAGCCGCTGGTCAGTTTCGGCAGCGACTGAATCTGGATGCCAGTTCCGACTTAAGTACAAATTCGACTTAAGTACAAACCTACAGTCCCTATCTTGTACGTAACCCGGGGACTGCCTGTATTTATTTTTGACTTTGGCCCAGGTCTTCATATTTAAGCAGTAAACTCCCAGTGAGTTCAAAGAGATTAAGACCCCTTTTGAGGAGCTGGACTTTTATCTGTGGTCACCATCAGTGTTAATGAATCTGAGACATAAAACCAGGGCTTATGGGTTTTTTTTCTGCAAGAGGTTGGAAGTTGCATTTAGCCAGGACACCGGATTTCAGTTTGGGCAATTGCGTTCTGCCTATGTCCCACCCCCCAACTTCCTTGTTGAATATGTGCTCAATTTTCATCTTCCCCAAAGCCACTGGCTACTTCTGTATGGTTGCCATGTTTCATCTCAAAGGATGTTGCATTTGCGTTTAGTATTTATTTATACTGCAGATGTGCCTAGAGGCCTCAGCAGCAGCTGTGGGGACCCCCTGTGTGAGGCACTGTAGAAGGACAAAAGAAGGCATAGTCTTTGTTCCAAGGAGCTCAGACTCTCACTAGACAACACAAGTGGTAGGAGGGGGGAAAAGAGACACAGATGTTGCAACTTCAACTTCACTCAGCACATCAGTTTGAGTGGAACCTGTGTTTCCTGCATCACAGTCCTGCCCCATGCACCAGACAACACCGCTTCCCTGGTACAATGACTTCAGTGACCCTCATCCTTAATCAGCAGGGTCATTGTCAGCACGCACAGCACTTTGAGCTTCTGTGGGGTACCAGGTACCGTGTAAATTATTTTGCTGGGCCTTCCACATAAGCAACACACTGCAGCCCTTTTTCATATATTGAGAGGAAAGATTTTAACTTGTGCCTCTTGCTTTCTATTACTGCACGCCAAATAACATGCGGAGAAATAATAGATGGGAGTAAACCCACTGGTTTTGGTTGTGATTAGCCTGGCAGCTCTGGTTTGCGTTAAGTGGAAGCTGGCAAACAATGGGTTTAAGAGAGGAAAGGAAAACAGCCCGTGCTGAGGTCAGTTGCCACTTCCTAGATCCAGCTGGTTTGGTTTATTTTTTTAATTCCATTTGGCTTAAATTAATGACGACAGTTTAAAGGGAGCCCTGTCACCTCTTTTGCTTCCTTTACATCTGAAACCAAGAACTTTCTGTCTGATTGCATTTTGTCCCAGGGCTCGCGGTTCGGATTCTAACAGCCCCACGGGTCATCCCCATTTCACGTTGTCATCTTTGTGCTCTGCAGTTGCCCTCTGCCCTTTTCTGCCCATTCCAGCTGAGTGTTTCTTACTGCCATGGTCTGAGCAGCATGCCTCCTAAAGGATCATTAATGCTGCAGGAATGTGGGGTGGTGAGGAGCTGCTAGACCAGAGCATAGGTGGTGGATTCTGGGCAGGCTCACTGACCGGGGGGAATGGGAGAAGTTGCCCCAGGGTCTGGCAGTTCTAAGGGGGCCCTGAGCTACCAGATGCTACTGCTGCTATTGTGTCAGTGGTGTCAGCCAGAACCCTGTGCCCTTGAAATTGCCATCAGATGCATGCTTCAGGCAGCACTACGGGCTAGAGGGCATGCCACGCTCCGGGAGGCAGGAAGGGCTGGCTGGCTCCAGCTCCACCCCCTCTGCCCAAGGCTCCGCCCCTTCCTGAAGCACAAATTCATACACACCCTCACACGCGTACACACGCCCCTTGCCCAGAGGCCCTTGGAGGCTGTCAGTGCCCCTGATTCTGGGTCAGATCCTGAATTGGCATTACTCAGAATTGCTCCATTGCCATCAGGGGAGCAATGTCGAGGATCTGAGGCACCATCCTGAGCTCTGGCCAATGGCTGACACACCAAATAAAGACTAAATCCCACAGAGCCCCCTACTTAACAGGATATTCTACCATGATGGTAAAAATGGCTCCCTGTTCCAAGTACTAATTCAGGCCCTGAAGCATATGGGAGCAGTAAGTCTGGAAACAACTGTTCCAGGTGTACAGAGTTGAAACACAGGGAGAAAGACAAATGTTAAGTCGGTGTGTTTTAGGCAAAAGCAAGCTGTCTCGGTTCCACGAGATGCAGCCGTGTACGTCAACCTGATGGCCTTAGGCATCTGGTGGAATCCCCATCCAGCTCCTACAAACTGTAGCCTTTCTGCAAAGAACAAATACCCTCCTGGAGTCCAGTATATTAACTTGAAGCTAATTTACTCTACGTGCAACCCCAGCCTACAATTTCTCTCCAGGCTTCTTTAGTCCCAGGTCACAGTAGCCTCACCTCAGGTGGGAACATCTGCCTTCATCTTCAGGATGAAATACAATAGCCACACCAGAGTTGCTAAATTGCAGCTCTTTGTAGAGTGCCAGCACTTGCTAACAGAGCAATAAAAGAATCATGTCTCGCTGCTCAGGACTCTTCGAAGTATTTGTGACAGGTATGACTACTTCCTACTGTATCTTTGAGGGATCTTAATGAATGAGGCTTAATTGACTTTGAATCCCATTGCACTAGAAATGCAAAGTTTAAGTATTTTTGTAAAATTGTGTGTAACTTCTCTAGATGGGAGACATGGCCAGAGGAAACCCAGGGACGTGCTACAAGGATCGAAGGATATTTAAACAAGGTGCCAGACAAGAACTTTCAGGACCAACAAAGGTAAATGGATTTCCTAGGATGTGCCTGGGGAGAAGAGCAATGTAAATTTAAAGTTACACTCAGAGGTGGTGCATCTGATGAAAGGGGTTCTTGCTCATGGAAACTTATGCCCAAATAAATCTGTTAGTCTGTATTCGCAAAAACAATGAGAAGTCCTATGGCACCTTAAAGACTAATATGGATGCCTCTCTGATACCCAGAGGAGAGAACTCTTGTCTAGCTGGTGACCTATTAATGATCTCTGCAGGCTGCATTAAAAGAAGGCTAACATATGCATAGGGGTTCTTGTTCTGAGCTAATGCTGCTAGGAACTTGTGAGTACATTAAAACTCCTGTTGGGCTATGAAAGTCTGAATCCTACCAGAGCACTTGCTGGTGTGTCTGTGGGGGCGGGGGTGTGATCTCTGGTAAACTTATTAGCATGTGTATAGGGTTTTTTATTCTCTGTAATGTTTTCACTTTAGGAATAAATATACTTGCTTAGCAAAGGCTGCATGATAACTTTTAACTGTGGGCAATTAACACTGTTTATAGCCTCTGAGGAGAAAGCAAAGGAGGCCTGCTTAGACCGTCTGACTTGCTGGAGAACTCACAGTGCAATCAAGGAAGTGTGCAACCTGAAAAAACAGGAGGAGGAGACATGCAGGTCTCTGCCAAACAATGTGACAGCTGAGGAGCTGGGAGTGAGTATCCTTGGACCACAAAGCCATAATAGAGGTGTGGTACAGGTGGATTTGACCCACAATCAATCAATAGCATAACCTGGTCCCTTCCATTTCTATGGCTGCCATTCTATCATCAACCATCAGAAGGACATTGCAGGGCACTCATCAGGGCCTTGCGTACTGTATGTTCTTAATTCAGAGACAACAGGATCCCTACGTGTTGTCTTTTAGTGGCTATCCTGTCAGGCCCTGAAAGGCTGGTTGCCTCCAAAGTGAGCTGTGCAACTGGAATAAATGATCACAAAGCCCTTTCAAACTAAACCAGAAGCATCACAGATTAATAGCAACTCTGATCTGCCATGTGCAAACACCAGATATTTCCGCTAAATTCTGCCAAGGCCAGCAGATTCACTACAAAGGGTTTTCACTCCTTCTGGGAGCAAGATGAAATGTATCACTAGGGAGCAGTACCCTTATTGGGACATTCTAGCATGAGGATCCAAAGGAAATTCTCTTCAATCTCAAGGTGTATCGACATAGCAGTGGGAACCATGCATTGGAGGGTGAGTAGACAGACACAGGTTAGCTCTGCGTGAGCTAGTATGCAAAACAGAGCAATGTGGCTGCAGTGACTTTGGCTAACTACCAAGAACAATCCCATCCAAGCTCCTCAGTAGATAATTGGGTGGCTAGCCTGAGCCATTTCTGATACCATCTTAGCCACATGCTATTTTTAGCATACTAGCATAAGGAGGGCTCATGAGTGCCTGTCTGTCCATGACAGGACTCATCCTTCCAGCTACAATGTAGACACACCCTTAGACAAAAAATCAGAGCAAAGGATTCTGCAAACCCTGTTTAGTTAGGCTCATCTTGAGTAACAAGAGACCTGACTGCAACACTAATCACTCCCAGCTTCTGGCCAAAGTATAAACACATGAAGAAACAATGTTGCCACTAACAGATTTAATGATTCTCCAAATCTCACTTAACACATTATTAAAATACTGCATTCCCAGTATAAAAAATGACTCTTTCCAAACAACAGCTAGACAGCTGGAAGAAAACTGAGGCCCTGGAAGAAAACAAATGGACAAAAGAAGTACAACACGCAGGGGAGTATCCCCTTCACGTTTCCAGGTTTTGCAAACAGCTGAGTGGGCGCCATTTTTCTTCCCTCCGTTGCACCTCTGTTTCCACGGTTGCATGTAGAGGTCCTAGCTGAGACCAAGGCCACATTGTGCTAAGCACTGCGGAAAAAACACAGAGAAAGATAGTTCTTGTCCTGATCTGACCATGCAGTAATAGGAGAAAGGAATTATTTTCTTTCTACACTTTGTAGCTAGGAGACTGAGACACAGAGATTGGCTTGCCCAAGGTCACTCTTTGAAGACTACAGTAGAGCTGAGAGTGACTCCAACTCTCCTTAGTCCTTGCCCAGTGCCTTAACCACAAGACATTAGGTAAATGGTGGGCAACCTGTGGCCCACGGGCTACATGCGGCACATTGGGATTCCATGTGCAGCCTGTGCATCCCCTCTCTGCCCCTCTCGTGCACTGGGAGCCTCACACTTACCTGCTACTCCTCCCCTCTCCCCGGTCTTTTGGAGCACCATGAATTGTCTGATTCATGCCCCCATCCCTTCTCCTCCTTCCTCCCAGAGCTTGAATTCCATGAATCAACTGAAGATAATAAGGCAATAAGTAACCGTCAGCCTGGATTTGTCAAGAACAAATTATATCAAACCAACCTGATAGATTTCTTTGATAACATAACAAGCCTTGTGGATAAGGGGGAAGTGTTAGATGGTATACTTTGATGTTAGTAAAGATTTGATAGAGTCTCGCATGACCTTCTTAAACCTAAACTAGAGAAATAGAACCTAGATGTGGCTACTATAAGATGGATGCATAAAAGATTGGATAACTTCTCAGAGTAGTTATCAGTGGTTCACAGTCATGCTGGAAGGGCATAACAAGTGGGGTTATGTGGGGATCAGTTTTTGGACTGGTTCTGTTCAATACCTTCATCGATAATTTAGATAATAGCATAGAGAGCACACTTATAAAGTTTGTGGATGATATCAAGCCAGTAGGCATTGCAAGTGCTTAGGAGGATAGGATTAACATTCAAAATGACCTGGACAAACAGGAGAAGTGGTCTGAGGTCAAGAAGATGACATTCAATAAGGACAAATGCAAACTACTTCACTTAGGCTATGTCTACAATGTCTGTTTTTTGCGGAAGAGAAAATGCAAATAGAGTGCTTATTTGCATATCTCATGCTCTCATTTGCATATCTTCTTCTGATCCTTTTTGCGGAAGAGGTTTTTGCAATAAAAAGCCCTCTGTACATGGGGCCATTTGTCAGTAAAAAACCCGTTTTGCGCAAGAGCCTGCAAACCTCATTTTTTGAGGAATAAGGGAACTTACGCAAAAGGGTTTTTTTCCCCGACAAATGGCCCTGTCTACACAGGGCTTTTTATTGCAAAAACCTCTTCCGCAAAAAGGATTGGAAGAAGATATGCAAATGAGAGAGTAATATATGCAAATGAGCGCTCCATTTGCATTTCCTCTTCTGCAAAAAACCCGCAGTGTAGACGTAGAAAGGAACAATCAGTTTCACACATACAAAATGGGAAATGATTGTCTAGCAAGGAATATTCCAGAAAGGCATCTGGGAGGTCATAGTGGATCACTAGCTTAAATATGTGTCAACAGTGTGACACTGTTGCAAAAAAAGCTAACATCTTTATTGGATGTATTAACAGGAGTGTAGTAGGCAAGAAATGAGAAGTAATTCTTCCGCTGTACTCTGTGCTGATTAGGCCTCAACTGGAGTACTGTGTCCAGTTCTAAGTACCATGGTTTAGGAAAAACGTGGAGAAATTTGAGAAAGAGGAGCAACACATTTTTTTAAGTGACCTATGAGGGCAGATTGAAAGAACTGGGTTTGCTTAGTCTAGAAAAGAGAAGACTGAGAGGGCATATAACAAATTTCAAGTACCTAAAAGGTTGTTAAAAGAGGAGGAGATAAATTATTCTCCTTAACCTCTGAGGATAAGACAAGAAGCAATTGCAGCAGGGGAGGTTTATTTTGGACATTAGGAAAAACTTCCTGTCATGGTGGTTAAACGCTGGAATAAATTGCTTAGGAAGGTTGTGAAATCTCCTTCATTGGAGATATTTAAGAGCAAGTTAGACAAACGCCCGTCAGGGACAGTCCAGATGGTGCTTGGTCCTGCCATGAGGGCAGGAGACTGGACTTTGACAACCTCTCTAGGATTTTACGATTCAATGCTGCGCCTGGGAGAGAAGGTGGGGAAAAGGCCGGGCAGGGATTTGATATTGTAAAGTGAGTGTAAATGTTTTTTTATTTGAGGTTGATGACAGTTCTATTAATATATGAATGATTTAAAGCATTTCTGCTTGTTTTGAAATATTCAGCATGCCATGTGTTAATGTATTTAATCTGATTCTTGGGGCTGCTCTTAGTGCACATGACTGATTTCAGTCTTACGGACCACTGAGATGGAGAGTCACTCATGCAGCCCACTCACTAGCCTTGATTGCCCATTGCTGCATTAAAACCTTGTTGCAACCCCTGCTTCAATTTATGCAATTGCTTTATGTAGTGTTAGTTACAATGGCCTTACCTCGTATGTCTCAAGACTTCATTCCCAAACAGCAGCTTACATTAGAACAGGATTGCGAGGTCTTCAGTCCACTGAAAACCAAGTAGGGCTTTCACAATCTCTTCCAGTATTAAGACTGATGCAGCAAGCTACGGATGTACCTATGTAACTTCAAGCAGCCTCACAGAGTCACGCTTGTGCGTAAATATCGTGCTGAAATAGGACCAACGCCTCAGACAAAAAAGGATGAATTTCTCTTCAAAATGCTCTTCACTTGTTTCATTGTAAATATTTTGTTAACCGTGGCTGTGTAGTGCTGTAAAATGCAAGAGCGCCTGGGAACTGGAAAGGGAGACCAACCAGACTAGTTTTATTGTCCAAGCTCAGTGAAATGCAAGAAGGAAACAAAACAAATGTGAGCACTCACTCTGATGTTTAAAACTCCATTTTTAATAATCTAATGTATTAGTAACCTGAGAGAAGACGCTCTAAACTAGTAATATTCTTGTCCCTCTGGAGGACCCGATCTAGTTACATTGATGACAAGGGAAAGACTCCTATGGATTGCAAATGAGTTTTGTTGTTCCCTCTGCATAATGCAAAGTATTAATAGATAAAACAGAATGGCTATACCGAGACCTGGAATGAGCCTATTGTGTCTCTTGTTCATATCTCAAAACACTTGATGAGCATTTAATG